AGGGATGCTCAGGACAGGTGGTGACAGTCCAGCTGGCAGGCAAGACAGAAGGTGCCGCCACCTGCCGGACTGCCGGTGTCCGCAGGCCACTCAGCCCGACTCCAGTCCTGAGCCCTGCTGATAATGCTAGGTTGTCTGGCCAGCTGGCAGGTGGAACAAAAGATGCCACCACCTGCCGGACTGCCGGTGCAGTGCCCACTCATCCCGATTCCCAAGCCCAGACCTGATGGGGCCCCATGTGCCCCCGAGTCCCTCAAGAGTGTCCGCTCAGTAAGACGGCCCTGGGTTATACCCAGTTGTCCCATTGTAAAGCCCACATGATTAGTGCAGTATTGTTTCCAATAGCAACATGTGGTTTCACATCCTTTGAAATTTAATAGGCGGTATACTGTGGTTCTATAACGTCACTTACGGGACAATTGTTGGGAGGATTCATAATACAGCCTCTAATGCTAATTTCATATGGTGAAGATATGCATTATATCATGAGGGGTGTATGAATGTGCATATGACGTCTAGACATACCCTTTTGTACTAAGACAACATTGTATTTTTTATGGTAGTGGAAGGTGGTTATATTTATTATCTATTTGATATTATCTTGTGTACCAATAAAGCTTTTTTTCATATTATTTGGATTTTGAGTAATAGTTAGTTTTGGTTTACTTAAGTCTCATGCTCAGTTGCATGGCCCTTTTTTGGCAGATTGTCTTCTTGTCTGCCAATTTTTGAGTAGATGGTGAAGGTGTGTGGGACAAGAGAATTAACTGGAGTACAGTTTATTCATGTGTACACAGTATATGGCCTTCTCTAAAATTGGATGTCCACTTTAAGGTTTAACTATCCCTGAAAGCCACCTCCGCCTTATCCCAGGGCATTGATGAGCATGACACAGTAGAGGTACCCCATGTGCCATGGTGACCAGTTACCCTGTTTATGGTGCCTAGTGTAGCCCAGAAGAACCCACCCCATGGAAGGCATCTCATGTGACCCACACTTGGTGCCAAATGGAAAAGGGGAACATGGAGAGAGTACCAATCACCTACCTTTACATATGTCCATCTTCCTAGGACACTGGGGAAAAAATGAAAGCATTCCAGGAATGGAAGGAGTTTTACCTGGATGGCCAATGGCTTTTATTTTTTACTAAAAAAGTATGAGCCATCTCTATCAGACTAGCTTAATCCTGTGTCCTGAAAAAAATATGCTTTAAAGCAGAACTCCAGGCAAAAACGTCTTCACATGTCCTTGTTGCTGATTTCCTACCTTCACTGAATATGCATCCATCTTCTGGTTCACTCAGTAGTTGCTCTGAAATATCCTATTCAATTTCAAATCATTAATTCTGTTTGGTTTCCTGTTTGTAAGGCCAGTGGTTGTTATGCCTCCTATTCCCCCAGCCATTGGTCTTGGCACATCCCTTCTGTAGTTCTTTCTCCAGGAAGCTGTAGTTCTTTCTCCAGGAAGTAGTGAAGTAATTCCACCCCACTTGCAGTGGTGGGCAGACCGAGACTCTCAGACACATTCAACATGTACAGAGTACCCGCCCACATTCACTACAATTCCCTGTGGTTGATGGGAACTGTAGTTTTATTTTACTGCAGAGAGAGAGGTGAGGATATAACATAATCCCTGCTGTTACACTCCTCCTTGGCAGAGCAGATGCTGTTATCTTTTTAATTACAGAGATGAGGTTATGGAAATTCAATTAGACTTTTCACCTGAATGCTAAGGAATTTCAAAATTTTGTGACTGTTTAGTGTTTTGTGTAGGGGGGTGTACTAATGAGTGATTTTTTCGCCTATCCCGGAGTTCTTCTTTAAGCGCCCCCTGGTGTTGGTCACCTAATCAAAAGAGCCAGTCAATCTGATTACTGACCCTCCCCTTTAAATGAAAGCATGTGACTCAATTCCAGTGCTCCTGAATATGTAAGAAGGAACGGAGGAAGCATGGAGCAGAAAAGCATTTTGTTGATAATAGCTTTTCTATGGATAGATAAGTGAGCGTTCCTGAATTATTTTTTTTAGAAGTAGCGCAACAAAAAACAAAGTTCTGTAGTAAAAATGATATACAGAGCTCTAAGTAGTAGCTTGCTAAAACATCTGGCACAAGCATTGGAAATCCCTTCAATCAGGAAGTCATAGAAACCCAAAACAAAAGAAAAAAGTTATCAAAAAATTAGTTTTCAAGTTTCATTGTGTACAACAATTTCTAGTCTAGTCACTGCAAAAAACACTGCTGATGAGCCACTTCTCCACACAGCAATGGAGAAAGGCATCCTATAATAAAGAGACATGTCAAATCCAACAGAAACTGGGCAAGAAAACTCTGTAATGGGCTGCATTAGTTTTACTGGGGGCACACTTATCTCTGGGCTACTGAATCATTACTCACTGACAACCAGTCTGGCACACAGCCTGTTATCCAATATCTGGCTGGATACTAGTAGCCGGTGGAAGTGACAGGTCGCAGCCGACCCACAAAGCACTTTGGCTCTGTGGGAGAGTTTAAAAATGTGGATTTCTGATGTTACAGTGCAGTTGAAGTCACAAATATATATATATACACACACACACACACACACACACACACACAGACACACACACACACAAAGAACATTTGTTCAACTCACTACATAAAAGTAACTCACTACAAGAAAGTAAGGTTAATAATATAAATTAGATTATACAATCTTTGGTTTTACTCAAATTAGTTGATGCAAAAATGAATACACCCCAAAACAAAAACTACAACATCTAGGATTTTGTATGACCTCCATGATTTGTAAGGATAGCACAAAGTCTTCTAGGCATGGAATGAACAAGTTGGCAACATCTATCTTTTTCCATTCTTCAAGAATGACCTCTTTTAGAGCATGGATGCTGGATGGAGAATGATGGTCGACTTGTCTCTTCAGAATTCCCCATAGGTGTTTGATTGGGTTCAGATCAGGAGACATACCTGGCCACTGAATCATTATCACCCTGTTCTTCTTCAGAAATTCCACAGTGGCCTTAGATGTGTGTTTTGGATCATTGTCATGTTGGAAAAGTGCATGAGGACCAAAAGCATGGAATAATGGTAGCATCTTCTCTTTCAATATAGAGCAGTACATCTGTGAATTCAAGATACCATCAATGAAATGCAGCTCCCTGACACCAACAGCACTCATGCAGCCCCACAGAAGGACACTGCCACCACCATGTTGCACTGTAGGTACCATGCATTTTTGTTTGTACTCCTCACCTTTGCAACACCATAGAGTTTTAAAGCCGTCAGTTCCAAAAACATTTATCTTGGTCTCATCATTCCAAAGTACAGAGTCCCAGTAATCTTCTTTTTCAGCATGGGCCCTGGCAAATTCTAGGTGGGCTTTTTTGTGCATGGGCTTTAGGAGAGTCTTCCTTCGTGGATGATACCCATGCATGCCATTCCTCTGCAGTGTATGTTGTATTGTGTCACGGTTAACAATCACCCCAGTTTAGCTTTCTATTTCTTTAGCTAACTGCAGTGAACTTGCATGGCAATTTTCTTCAACACTTCTAATCAGAAGATGTTCCTGTTGAGGTGTTAACTTCTGTGGATGGCCTGGACATCTCTGTGAGATGGTTGCAGTTCCATCTTTGTTAAATTTTTGTATCACTTTTGCTACAGTATTCTGACCGATAAGTAAAGCTTTGCTGATCTTCTTGTAGCCTTCACCTTTCTTGTGCAAAGAAATGATTTACTTTCTCAGGCCTTGTGACATTTCTCTTCCATGTGGTACCATTGCTGACAGCATGAAATGAGAAGGGGTTTTCTTGATGCAAATTAACAAATCTTGTTTGCAATCAATGGCCCGCATTTGTGGGAGTATTTTGTATATAGTGTCCTGCAGAAAATTTTGATTCTGAAAGGAAAGTGAAGGTTTTTGGACAAAATTGTTGGGGTGTACTCATTTACGCTGAGCACTGTGCATCTGTGTGTGTGTATATGTGTTTGTATATGTGTGTGTGTATGTATATATATATATATATATATATATATATATATATTCAGAGGGACATTGTACTAACAATATATTCAGAGTCTCACCTCCCCTTTCCTATTATGTCACATGTACAGTATGTCTACACAAGTGTACAGTTTACCAGGAACCAAGGAACTAGAGTAAGACCTAGTACGCTCTTTAGTGTAGACCTGATCAGATATGCCCATAGTATTACCTGCAATACAAGTCTGCATGAGGACACCTGTGTTGGGGGTGTGGCTGTTTCTCAGCTCGGCCAACACAGAGCACTTGCATAGAAGAGCAGGAAACAGAATTTTTAAAGCATTTAAAAGAAAAAATCAAGGACGTAAAAAAGATATAAAGTGTTAGACTTTAACTAGGCTTTTATAAAGATACACCATTATATTTACAGTAAATACTTAAAGTAAATGTGCCACGGAAGAAACAAACTGTTGTGGATTATCCAGCTCTTAGAGCATTATTCCATTGATACCAATGATAGGGAACAACTCCTTCCACAGACACTAATGATGGGGCATTATTCCTCCTACTGACACCAACGATGGGGCATAATTCCTTTCACCAGTACCAATGATGGGGTACTATTCCTCCCACTAATATGAGGCACTATACTTTCCACTGACACCACCGATGGGGTACTATTCCTCCTAACGACCACAGGTGGTATGGATTTTTTTACTCCCAATGATCACCAAGCCAGAGGAATTGTTTACTCCCACTGACGCTGAGGCATTTTCTACTCTCATGGGCAATAGTACAACCCCACTGCAGTCTAAAAGGACACTAAGATGGCCCTTTGTTTAGAGAGTTTGGAGACCCTCGGTTTAGACACTTCTACATGCATTTTAAAGGACAAACTGACAGTGTGTTTTGAAAGCTCATCCCCCCATCCACTTATACACTTTTGCAGTGCTCCCCATCCAGAGGTGGAAGAGAATACCTAGAATCCCTAGGTGGACAGGAAGAGAGTGTGTGGAATCATGATGGATATTTGACTGTAGGTGTATCCAAGACCAGGGGCGGACTGACATTTGGAAACTCGGGCACTGCTCGAGGCCCGGGGTCAGTAGGGTGCCCCATGAGATGCCCCTGGTACCTTTTTCATAGGCTTTTTTTAGTTTGGGCAAGGATACAGGGGCCCCATGATCCCCTATTGCCCAGGGGCCCCATGAGTTGTCAGTCCGCCCCTGTCCAAGACCTACACTATAGGATACCATCTGTCTTAGTTCATCATGCTTCACCAATAGTGCAAATGGACCTTTGAGTTCTGTAATAGTTTCATGGTCTTTTCCTTTGTGCTGTTAGCAGATTAAAAAAAAAACCAAGTACATAGTCTAATAGATGTGCGTGTGAGATAGCAATGTAGTTTTACGCTATTCTACTAGTGCCCCTGTCTCTGCTGTGCATTCCCTCATCCTGTCTCCAGATAGAACGATTTCCCTGATGCTCTTAAAACAACTATTACTGTCTCCTGTATTCAGAATGATCCTGCTCTAAATCATCCTCTGATATATGTCCGTATATTAATATTTATCCTTCTCTCCACCCTTGTCTTGATTTCCTATTCTCTCTCCCTTTCTCTCTGTCTGATAGTAATAATTCTTTTTCTGACATACCCTTGTATAATATTCCCTGCCCTTGCTGCTCTAAATTGATGTACCAATTGTGTATATTGTGTCAGCTAATTCTTATTCCAAGTTTCTAAGCAGAGCCTGAGACCAATGCAGAATACAATTTGAGGTTTTTTGGGGTTTAGGTGAGCTGTAAGATCCGGGACCTTTGTCATCCTAAGAGACACATTTATATGACAAGTCTTGCCAAGCCAAAGCGGTTAGACTTTAGTAATGAACCCGTCTCTATTTTATTTTATTGAGCTGCTCTATGACCCAGATATTTGTAGCAGGACAGCTCACATAAAATAAATGAGTAGATCCTTCATGATTAATTTCCCAGTATTTGCATTGAATGGCTTGAGTGAGGAACTCGTCAAGTGTAGACAGCCAGATATACAGCTACAGTTGCAAGAAAAAGTATGTGAACCCCTTGGGATTATGTGGAGTTTTACATAACATGTAAACATTCACAGTGCAGGGAGGAAAAAGTATGTGAGGCCCTAGCTTAATGACTTCTCCCAGAGCTAATTGGAGCCAGGAGTGAGCCAACCTTGACTCCAATCAGTGTGATGATATTGGATGTGTTGCTGACAGCTGTCCTGCCCTTAAAAAACACACACCTGTTTTGGGTTTACTGTTTTCAAGAAGCACTGGCTGATGTGAACCATGCCCCGCAGAAAAAAGCTCTCAGAAGACCTACGATCAAGAATTGTTGACTTGCATGAAGCTGGAAAGGGTTACAAAAGTATCTCCAAAAGCCTTGATGTTCATGTGTCCATGGTAAGACAGACTGTCTACAAATGGAGAAAGTTTAGCACTGTTGCTACTCTCCCTAGGCTTTGTCATCCTGTAAAAATGACTGCAAGAGCACAGCGCAGAATGCTGCATGAGGTAAAGAAGAATCCCAGAGTGTCAGCTAAAGACCTACAGAAATCTCTGGCACATGCTAACATTTTTCTTGACACATCTACAATAAGGAAAACATTAAACAAGAATGGAGTACATGGGAGGACACCACAGAGGAAGCCATTGCTGTCCAAAAAGAATATTGCAGCACGTTTGAAGTTTGCAAAAGAGCACCTGGATGTTCCACAGCACTACTGGCAAAATATACTGTGGACAGATGAAACCAAGATTGAGTTGTTTGGGAAGAACACACAGCACTATGTGTGGATCAAAAAAAGGCACAGCACACCAACATCAAAACCTCATCCCCACTGTAAAACATGGCGGAGGGAGCATCATGGTTTGGGGCTGCTTTGCTGCCTCAGGGCCTGGACGGATTGTTGTCATTGATGGGAAAATGAATTCCAGAGTTTATCAAGACATTTTGCAGGAAAACGTACGACCATCTGTCCGCCAACTGAAGCTCCGCAGAGGATAAGTGATGCAACAGGACAATGACCCAAAGCATACAAGTAATTCAACAAAACAATGGCTGCAACAGCACAGAATACGCCTTCTGGAGTGGCCCAGTCAGAGTCCTGACCTCAACCTGAGTGAAATGCTGTGGGCATGACCTTAAGAGAGCGATTCACACCAGACATCCCAAGAATTTGCTACACTGAAACAGTTTTGTGAAGAGGAGTGGTCCAAAATTACTCCAGATCGTTGTGCAGGTCTGATCTGCAACTACAGGAAATGTTTGGTTGAGGTTATTGCTGCCAAAGGAGGGTCAACCAGTTATTTAGTCCAAAGGTTCACATACTTTTTCCTCCCTGCACTGCGAATGTTTACATGTTATGTGCAATTAAACCATGGCAACATCTAATGTTTGTGTAGTATTATGTTCAGCAGACTGTGTTCTTTTTATTGTTGTGACTTAGATGACGTTCAGAGCACATTTTATGCCCGATTCATGCAAAACTCCACGTAATCCCAAGGGGTTCACATACTTTTTCTTGCAACTGTATAAGGCTGTAGACACAAGAGTGCCTAGGCACCCACACAAACCAAAAGGTGCACTGCTGTTTTCAAGAGGAATTCCAGACAAAGGTTACATTGTTTAGGGTGCTGTTATGGCCGGCCATACATGGGTCGAAATTCGGCCGATTTTTGGTTCACAAATCAAACCTAAGAATAATCGGCTGATATTCGCTGTTAGTGGGTCAATGGCACCGGACAATTTTCGTAATTCCTCCCCTTTATGGTGATCGGGCATGTTGGAAAATTCGTGAAAACTACCGATTTTCAACTCAATGATGGTCAAATCGTACGATCATTTTTCCAAAAAGAATATGCGCATGAGCCGTGACCTGGAAGGAACAGACGTTTTGCGTGTTATATGGGGTGAACTTTATGACTTGGTTGGCCGATTTTCGAAATCATTGATGGCACCATCGGATTACTGAGCAAACGTTTTCGATTTTCAGACGAAAAATCGTTCGGAATTCGAACCATGTATGGCCTGCATAAGGCACAATTTACAATTTCAGTTGTTCCCTATATTGTAGCAAATCTTAATTTTTTTAGTTCAGTTTCACTTCAAGTGCCTCAAACACAGCTCCCTTCCCAGCATCCCCACAATAAAAAAAAAACCCACCAGACTGCGTGCCGCTTGGTTAAATTGACCAGAGCAGTCATTTTTGAAACAAGAAATACACACAACTGGGGAGGGAGACTTTAGTTTTTGTATGCCTTAGGTAGAAAACTCCAGTCCTCAGCTGCACCTCTCTGGCTTGAGAACTTCTTACTAAAACACGAAATCTCCCTGGGAAGTGTGTCCCAAGGGGATTATAACAGCAACAACCAACACAAGAGGGTACATACCCTGACATGAGCTCCCCTTCACCAAAAAACCCTACTACTTTTAATTGCCAAAGGCCACCTATCCACTTGGATGCCATAGCAAATGTTGTGTATTAACTACTAAACTACAACAAAAATGGGTGGATGAGACAATTTTAAGCTCTGCAGAAATCTAGGTAATGGCTTACCAAGATCAAGCTACTAAAAACCAGCTCTAAGGATCCTCCTCACTTATCTTACCACCTTCTTCCTAGACAGTAAATTTTATCCATCCAACACTACACTTGTAGCCCATTCTTAGTCCCTTAATTCCTCATCCCAGTCACGTAGTCCCTTCACCAAGCATTTGTCTTTCTCTGGGATTCATTTTCTCAAAGCCCCGTAAGCACCTTCGGTTCCAATCTAGAAGTGTTGGATCTAAGGCTCCATTCACATCTGAGCGTAGCTTTTTTGTGCTTTTTTTTGCGTGTTTAGTCGTGTGTTTGCAAACGTTTGTGTGCAATTTGTTCAAGCGTTTTGAGGCTTTTTGAGTTCTGGTGTTTTTGTATTAGCAAATCAAGAAAAATTTCATCTGTGATATCAATTGTTCCCATGTTTTGCCTTGCCATAAAAACGCAACAAAACACGCAAAAGCGCATGAAAACGTGATTTGCGCATTTCCATGTATTTCTATGGGAATGAAAACATGCCAAAAATGCATCAATCTGCCTGAATGGAGCTACAAAAGTAGCTGCACAAATTTTTTGAGATTCAGGCGTTCTGCTTCATGTGACTTGGAGTGCAGATGTGAACCATCTCCATAGAGTAATATTGATCCTTTATTTTTTTTTTTCCTAAGCGTTTTGGAGCTTTGCACTACAAAACGCTCAGGTGTGAATGGGGCCTAAATGGGAATGTGGGCTGTAGCTTTTACAAGCAGGTTGCAGTCTTCAGCAGGCATTTTGTAGGCTTCAGTGGATAGTTACACTAGTTACAATAGGTATAGCAAAATCTTAGAGATGATAAAGCTGCTTAGAAACACACTATATAGCAAAATCTTAGAGACGATAAAGCTGTGTAGATGCTCAATAAATGCTTAACGCCTCCTCCAATCTGTAAATTAAACACCTCGCTGTGGCGAGACCCACATGGAAGAAAAATATATTTGAAATATATTTTAAAAATATTCTTCCCAAATATAGACATATTTGAAATGCTACAATTTTGGCCATATTCAATATATTTCAAAATATATTTCAATATATATGTGTGTGTGTGTGTATACACTGTATGTTGAAATTACAACATATATGAAAAATATTTTTATAAATACATTTCAAATATACTGTATGTCTTTAAAAATACAAACCTACATTTTTGGAATGCATTTACAAATATATGTAAAAATGTATGTTAAAATGACTTTTTTATGTTAAAAAAAATGGAAGAATTTTTTTTAAAAATATAGATTTTTTTAAATATATTCTTCAGATTTTTTTTAACATAAAAAAGTAACAACATATATTTGTAAATGCAAAAATGTATATTTGTATTTTTAAAGACACACAGTATATTTGAAATGTATTTTTTAAAAATGTTTTCATATATTTTGTAATAAAAGACAGATTTCAACAAATATATATATATACTGTGTGTTGAAATGTATTTTGAAATATATTGAATGTGGCCAAAATTGTAGTATTTCAAATATACGTCAATATATTTGGGAAGAATATGTTTAAAATATATTTCAAATATATTTTTCTTCCATATGGGGAGAATATTAATCTTTGTTCCAATTTAGAAGTTGAAACCACAGGGATTGGCCCCCAATCATGTGATCAACATGACAGCCACAAAGATAGGAGTACAGTGATATGTTAAAGCTGAATTAAATCTACCCCACCTGCCATTAAAAAGCACAACCTT